TTAAGAGTATTAATAGCAGTTTAGTGGAAGACTTCGGTTCAACACGAAAATTCTCAAATATTTTGTTTATGTCTGGTGTTGAAAAACGGATAATATCGATTTTGTACGGATGTAATTTAGACATAGCATCACTGGTGAGATAGTAGTGTTCGACGTGTTTTGAGCAGCATCGAGATCCAAGTGGTATAACGATATTTTTAACAAAAAAACACGCCCTCGTTCGCTCTCAGATCGGACTCATGAGGCAACGTTTGTGGTAATGGCGGAAAATCAATCTTCATTTCGAAATCATTATCGTCATCCTATACAATATCGCAAAAGTGAAGAAAATGATACTCAGTGTTTATATAAAACCGACTTACCTTTCCTTATTCTTCTTCATTTTTCTCACAATTACTATCGACATATTCGATCACATGAGTATATTCGGGATATGAATGTTTCCATTTGGAGTACTTTAAAGTATTCGCGTAAAGTATATATTGAGTGACTTAGTCTTCCACTAAACTGCTATTAATACTCTTAAATTCTTTTCCTATCTTATTATTATTCTGTTCTTACAACTACAATCTTACTAAGCCGAGCACGTGAACGTTTTCAGTACAACCGACTAAATAATACTGAACATTACACTTTCCCAGGAACGCCGCCGAAGTTTCATACAACAACTCAGTCTTTCTAGGTCATGTAAAAACTGAAAAGAAAACACTTGTACTGACTAAGAATAGAACCCATGACGCTTGTTCACAAGACAAATTCCCTGCCACTATGCTACCGACACATCACAACACTAATACATATTGCAATATATAATGCAGGCCTCAATAACAGGAAAGAAGAAGAGGCTGAAGAAATCCGGCTTTCCTCACAAGAACGTCTTTTTTTTTTCCTGAAGAAATTCATGTTTCTCCAGAAGAACATCATCTTTTTGCTGGACAAAACTCCATCTTTCTTTACAATAACTTCATGTTTTTGGTGAACAAAAATCTAGGTTTCTTCACAAGAACTTCATGTTTTTTTCTGAAGAAATCCGTGTTTCTCCAAGAGATCTTCATGTTTTTGTTGAACAAAAATGCATGTTTACTTCCAGACGAAAGTCACAAACGCCAGGGCGAATTTTACACCGAAGTGAATCTCAGAGTTGGACTTCTAGACAGCCTGTTCTTTTGCGCACAGCTTAAAACTTTTTTCTCATTTTTACGTATGAAGCTGAATAATCGAAAGAATGAATGAACGTAGTTTAATTTTCGAAAAATGGAGAAAGGTTCAACAGGAGCAAAAAAATCACCGCTGAATGGTTTTCTGAACGCAGACTCACAAATATTTTGTCAAATTCGCTTAAATTGACTTAAAGTTAACTTTTGTTAACAAATTGACCTAAACTTTGTTGACCTAACTAAGTTTTTCTTTGCGACATTCTTTTACATTCTTATGTCTAATCGGTGTAATTATAAACTAACTAGCTTATGAAAATAACAAAACTACTTACATTGTCGTACGTTATCTCCTTTCTCATACCTAACTAAGTGTTTTAGAGAAATTAAATAATCTGTCTGTCAGGTGGATATTCGCGTTCTTCCTGCTGTATAAAGATGAATTCTGATACTGAGTTGCATTCTATTAAGAAAAAAAGTCGCCAGATGTATATGACTTTTTGAAATAGGATGTTTCTCCACGTTAGGTTGCTATAGTTCACCGACCTTTTATTATAACAAAGCAAACATGAATTAAGATGGACGGTGAATTTTGTGTAGACAATACTACTATGAGGCGAATACTATACTGTGTCGCAATGACACCTCATTCTCACTTCAAGAAAACACGTATTTCCTGCTAAAAACGCGTTTTGAGCGAATTAAAAAAACGCATTTCAACGCTTCAACTAAAACGCCTGTCAACGGGCTTTTTCATACGCGTTTTCATGACCAAAAACGCGTTGTATTGCAGAAACAGCGCTTTTTAAAATAAAGTTTGCGTTTCGACGCATTTTTTCACTGAACATTTTTTCGTGAGGTGAAAGTATGTATGGGAGCATTTTGATAGCCTCTTTATTCTCGTTATCATGTTTCAATGTCGAAGGTTTCTCCATCAGATTACGTGGACCAAAGTGAACAAAAGTATAATCAGTGTGCATATCTGATAGTAGTAACGAAAAAGAAGGTGGAGATAATGTGCTGAAGAGATAACGACTAGTTATCACTGTGTTTGTCAGCACTATTGCATATATACCGCTGGAAAAAATAAGTTTTCATCGGTATTTTGAGAATATTATTACCAAAAGAACGTATTGTTTTTAAAGGAACGACTTATTTTGAAACCCCGTGAAATTTTACATCATCCTGTGTATTTTTATTTTTGTTTGGATCTTTGTTTAAAAAAATTATTCCAATGAAGTGAATACACCCTCAGTACCTCATTTCACACACTTGATACAATCATTATTATCGCGTATAGTTTAATAGTAAATGTAGACTCTGATAGCCCGTGAAATTCTATGTGTTTATGTCTTCCCTTGCATTTATCTGCCACAGAATAATTCGAATATTATTTAGGCATCCTAGTTTGCAAACCTAAACAACCAGACTTTTTACTGTCTCTTTGGTTTTTATTTCAGATTTATTATCACTGTAGAAATAACTTTTTGCACACGCAGTTATATGTTCTGATAGCGCTTGAAATTCTCTATTATCCTGAACTTTTGAACTTAAAAATAGAGACAGTAAAAAAGTGGAGTTTGTTAGAGTTTTTTAAGGATGGTGTCTAAATAATATCGGAATTCTCGTTTGACAAATAAGTGCAAAACAAGGCACAAATACATAGAATGATAGAGAATTTCCCGAGCTCTCAAAATACCGTTGAAAACTGCCCAATACCGTGAAAGCAAGTGCATGTGCACGTGGAGGAAAAAAAGGAATAGGAAAGTAAGTAAAAAGAAAAGCCCTTTCAACGTCATTTATGCGTCGATAATATCGCAAAACACGAGAAAGGTAACGTGTTCTGCTTATTCACCGATACACATCCATAGTAGCGTAAGTGTTTTCTTTTTTGTTTTCTGTTGCATTACGTCATGCATTCATATACGACATGGAAAGAAAGAAGGTAAAAAGGAACCGTATGTTGGAAAAAATTTTTAACTGAGAAAAAATCTGAATTCTTCGGTTTGTGTATTGGAATCGAATGTAAAGTTTTTGTATCTCTACAAAAACTTGCCATTGGTAAGGAACGTTTTCCATATGGGGAACTCGAAATCACAATCTGGCCCAGTCAGGCCCAGTTTTTGTTACCTTTCTTTGTGTCCGCATCATGTATGAGTACAGGATGTAATGCGGCAAAAAACAAAGAAGAAAAGGTTCACTGCTTTGCTTGAGGAAGTTAAAAAAGGAGCGAGGGAAATGGCCTATGACAATTATTATATAGTTATATCTCAGTCTCAATACAACCGTTATTACATAGATTATTTGTGAAACATCGTTACAGTTATCATTTAGATACAGATTTTGTTAAATTTGGAAACTACTTTCAGATGCAGTACAACTCTAACGAACACAATGAGAGTTTTTATTGTTCGTTGCAATAAATTTGCTTATAATTTGCAATGCCTTGTTGACGTTCGTGTAGAATGTTTTTATATTCGACACAGTTTCATTTTTTTGCATCTTTGTGTTTGATTCCAAGATTCATTTGATGGCTGTTTAGCAAAGTACATCGGTGTACTAAAAGTGTGTAGAAGTACTGGGTATTTTGTTGAAGTTGTAAATCAAACGTATGCCTAAAAATTCTATTTACCTTTTAGATTATTGTTTCAAATAAAAAATTACAATGATGAAATGAATATTAATTTGAATACAGATCATACTTTATCAACATTGACAGGTATTTATACAATAAAATCTTTGCGTTTGTGGGTTATCACACTTACTGTTGCTCTAGATTTGTCTCAACAACCAGAAGTCATCAGTACAGATGATTTCCACCTTACATTCCAGTCAATCATTGATCGGGTTCAGATCAATGATCAGGCCTATTGTTCCGGAGGACGAATTCATCCGTTATGGGCGTCATGCTTAGAAGTAAATCATATAGGAAAAATTTCATTACCATTAACGGATGAAGATGCAGAAATATTAATTAAACAATGTAAGCCACTAAAAACAAATGAAAATACCTTGTATAATGGACTGGTAAGAATATTTGAAGTTTTGAGAAGGACTTTCATGTCTCTCTTCTATCCCTAGTGAATGTATTTGAGACCAAAGTATTGTCCAGAGAATAAAAGATAGAGACTTCGGTTTTCATTATTCTCTATCCAAGACCCGAAGCTATCTTTTCATAAGCAAAAGCGAATTTGGAAAATATTTCAGAGACCGGTTTTTCAGAAGATCTGTAGAAAACTAGCTCGGTTGTATGAAAACTGACATAGAAATCTATGAACATTTTTTCATAGATATATAGTCCGACGTGTTCTCTATAGTCCTATTGAAAATTTTTAGACATGGTCTGGTTTTCCAAAGATCACCTCGCCGTTTCTCTTTGATTTTCATTAAAAGCCGTTTTTCTCAGCAAGGAAAAGGAATTTTAAAAAAAGCTCTCCGTACTTTTGAAGCTGGTCTCTTGGCCGATTTAATGGTGTATGAATTAAAGGTATAGCCTTTCATCGAAAAAACTAAATAGGCTTACAAAATGAATGATCCTCCATTTGACACCCGCCAGTTTCGATATCCATGGCGGACGAGTGTTTACTTTTAAAATGAAGTGAGGACCTTTTTCTAAATCAGTTTTCAACGCTGATTCCGGAAAAAATAGTTTCAATCTTCCATCTTGTAATAAAACCTCAAAAAAGATCAATTCTACGATAAAGGTCGTTTTTTTCGATTTTTTCGATCCTTGCAGTATTTCAGTTTTTTCTCCATGAAAAAAGGGCTTTTAAAAGTTTTAAAGGTGATATTCGTGATCAGCTCGACAAAATAAATCAGAATATGTATGGTAAATCGAAAAATAAAATCCACTTTTTTGCATTAGTTGCACTTTAGTAAAAAGCCTAAGAGGTTTTATTCAGAAAGCTCTTCCTTCGAAAATTTGATCCATTTTTCTGGACAACCAGTTTTTCAGAAACTCTAAAAAGGACCCAAACCCTTCTTAATGAGTCATGATTGTAGCCCATACATTTCTGATTAAAATGAGACATTTCCCAGCTCTATATGACCTTTCTTTGCAAAGTTAGAGAATTTACACGAAAAGCTGTAAATTAATTTTTCTTTTATTTGTAGCTTTGAGTTGACAATGAGTATTTAGAGCTCTTCTTGTAAATTCTATAACTTTGCAAAGAAAGGTCATATAGAGCTGGGAGATGTCTCATTTTAATCAGAAATGTGCGTGCGGGCTATAATCATGGCTCACTAAGAAAGGTTTTGATTATTGTTTTAGAGTTTCTGAAAAACCGATCTTTGAAATTTTTTCCAAATTCACTTTTGGCTACCCCCCCGGGGGGGGGGGGGGGGGGGGGGGGGGGGGGGGGGGGGGGGGGGGGGGGGGGGGGGGGGGGGGGGGGGGGGGGGGGGGGGGGGGGGGGGGGGGGGG